TTTTGAGAAATCTGTTCAGGTCACAAGTTCTTTTCACATTCATGACCAGAGGGGTATTTCATTGTTTCTGATTTCCTTCTGCAAGATCTGGCTGGATTATTTTATGAACTTTAGGCTGGTTCTAATCTTCATAGAGTAATTCCTACATATTGCTCAAATATTTCTCAGTAAACAGGCAGTATTATGGAAGTGTAGAGCTGCCACATGACATGAAATTATTTTGAAACTGGATCTCATTATAACGAGAAAACTATCTTGTTATAACGAGAAAGCTTTCTCGTTATAACGAGAAAACTATCTCGTTATAATGAGAAAACGATCTCTTTATAATGAGAAAACTATCTTGTAAAAACGAGAAAATTATCTTGTAAAAACAAGAAAACTATCTTGTGAAAACAAGAAAACTATCTTGTTACAATGAGAAAACTATCTCATTATAATGAGAAAACTATCTTGTTATAATGAGAAAACTCTCGTTATAATGAGAAAACTATCTCGTTATAATGAGAAAACTATCTTGTAAAAACAAGAAAACTATCTTGTTATAATGAGAAAACCATCTCGTTATAATGAGAAAACTATCTTGTAAAAATGAGAAAACAATCTTGTTATAATGAGAAAAGTATCTCGTTACAATGAGAAAACTATCTTGTAAAAATGAGAAAACTATCTTGTAAAAATGAGAAAACTATCTTGTAAAAATGAGAAAACTATCTTGTAAAAATGAGAAATCTATCTTGTAAAAACGAGAAAATTATCTTGTAAAAACAAGAAAACTATCTTGTAAAAACAAGAAAACTATCTTGTAAAATCAAGAAAACTATCTTGTAAAAACAAGAAAACTATCTTGTAAAAATGAGAAAACTATCTTGTTATATCAAGATAACCATCTTGTTATAACGTGTTATGGTTTCTTCTGGTTTGTCACTTTCACTGAAGTTTATTGCCTGGATGACGTGATGGAGAAAAAGACTGAGTCTCACTATATGCCTTTTTATGAAGAAGAAATCTGAAAGAGGAACACATTTCTGGACTAAAAAATGACAAGTTCATACTGAATAATGTTTTTGAAATAATAACGTCTGAATTCAGATTAGAGTGAATGTTATTAAGTGCTACTAGCTGCAACATTTGAGCACAAACCCAAATAATTCTGTTTGTTTTTTTTTGTGTGTTCTCATCACACCATCCAGGCAATAAACTTCCGTGAAAGTGACAAACCAGAAGAAATCATAACATGTTATAACGAGATCTTGATATAACAAGATAGTTTTCTTGTTTTTACAAGATAGTTTTCTTGTTTTTACAAGATAGTTTTCTCATTATAACGAGATATTTTAGTCGTTATAATGACATATTTCAGCATTTTTACAAGATAGTTTTCTCATTATAACGAGATGGTTTTCTCGTTATAACGAGATCCAGTTTCAAAATAATTTCATGTCATGTGGCAGCTCTACGCTTCTGTAGTATAGAGCTATAAGTTAAACAGTATAATTTAGATTGAAAAACAGATATAAGTGAAAAAGAAAATGCCTTTGAGGTGTCAAACAAAAATGTAGAACAAGTACAGCATCTTGAATCAATGTGACAATTGTTTCTCTTGTTTTTTAATGCAGCAGTCCATGTCTGTTAAAGCAATAAAAATAGCTGCCAATATCCACTATATTAGTGAAAATATTTCAGTAACACAATATTAAAAGATTCATCTGATATCCTGCAACTCTTGAATTTGACTCTTTTTTTTTTTTACAAAAATCAACTAAATTACCCTTTTGCTATATATTTCCATAAAGTGTAGAATTAGAGTCACAGATTAAAAAACTGTAATTAAAGGTTTCAAAAAGTTATAAGGGCAAGTGCATCATATACCAGCTGTCATCTTCTGTTAGTTTTGTGGTTCTTCACTGGCCTTACTGGAAGAGTCCACAGGCTTTTGGAAGGCATTTCCAAGGCTGCAGCGCTGATGAACACGCATGTGCTCTGTGACACGGTACTGGCGTGAAAAGGTCATGGGGCAGCAGGGGCAGGGGAAGGGTCGCACGCCGAGGTGGCTTCTCACGTGTCGGTTCAGAGAGCCTCGCTGGCTGAAGGAGCGGTCGCAGAGCGAGCACTGGAACGGCTGCTGGTTGGGAGCGGAGCTTTCTCCCAGCATGCTGACCGGAGGGCTGGAAGATACGCAAGAGGACAAAGTGGAAGGCATGGAGCTTTGCTCTGAATCGGTTACGTTTGGAGTTGGACAGACTGGCAAGGTGATGGTCTCCGCAGCCTTTTGTGCAGCCGGAGCCTCTCTCTTGTGTTGATCCTTTTCTGAAGATCTTCCCGTTTCATCGCTGCTCCACTCGTTAGTCTCAATAAAACCCTTGTCCCTGTAAACAGAAGACTCTTTGTTCCGTTTGAAGCCCCAACTCTCCTCTGTGTCGGATCTGTTTCTGCAGGGCAGCTCAGCGGGTTTGGAGTTCATGTCCAACAGGAGAACCTGGTTGGTGTTTTGCTTCATGGCAAAAGAACCAGCCTCTTCCTCATCAGTGGACTCACCCAAACTATAAGAGTGTCTGTGCTGGGAGTACTTAGAGCCTTGTATCAACGAGTGTGTGTCCTGATGTGGGCAGTACTGATAATGAATGTGTCCACGGTATGGCTGACCAACAGTTTCACTTGTAGGGTCAGACATGCTGTTTTCTACGGGAGTCACTGGAGATAAGCACGAGGTCTTAGAGCTGGAGGTTCCTCTAAATTCTGAAGATGCGCAACATTCAGAAGCAAAGGCATCGTCCAAACCTGATTCTGATGAGGTGGATGTGCTGTTTGATCTGTATCCATGCTGGATAGAAACAACACCACTTCTGCTTTTTCCTGCTGAAAAATGATTTGGGTACGTGTTGGTGTCAGATCCACGGGGTTCACAGTTACTGTCTGCTGTGTCTGCTTTAGCAGGCAACCGGATGGAGAAAATGTGCTCCTGTTTCGCTTCCACAGCAAGACCATCACCCCGGTGAAAGTCATTTCCTGCCTCCGAGTCCTGTTCAGGAAGTGAAAGCACACTTCTCCGGTCTTTAGTTTGTTCGCCTGCAGCTGCTGTCAGTGACTCATTGTGACGTTCAGAACAATCGAAACGTTGGTGTTTGGAGGCAAAATGATCACAATCGTTTTCCATTTCACGCTTTGACCCTTTGCTCCAGGCTTTACTCTGTGGCACCAAATTCCTGTCCCTCTGTAAAGAATCATGGTCTACACTGTGAGTTAAACCTTGAATTAAAAGCTCGCTATTGGTTATAAATTGATCTATAGTGCTGCTGTTGTAATTGTCATTCGGCTCAGGGTGATTTTTATTGTTTCTCGTGTCCGGATTTTGTTCTCCGTCTGGATGTTGGTGCTCAGTTATGGTGGTGTTGTCACTGTCTGTGCTGCAGGAGTGGGAGGCAGGAGCCATGCTGGAGCTGTGGCAGATGACGGGCACTGCCCCAAAACACTGATGTGACGATGTGGAGGAGGACGAGGAGGATCTTCTTTTTAGTTTAGATGTCTCCAACAGTTCTTCTTCCGTGCTGCCCGGCCAGTCTGAATGACACCGATGATCATGCTCATCTTTGTTCACTCCAGGAATGACTTCAGTAGGGACATGATTATTTAGCAAGTTATGTTGTATTACTTTGCTTTCATCACTTTTCAGCTCACAGAAGCTGTTTAGATCATTTAAAGTCTTTAAATCCGTTCTGCTGGGATGGTTTGAATCCTCTTCTTCTATTTGCATTTCTTTGTCTTTAATAATGAAACTGACTGAATTCATCTGGGCCTCTTCAAACATGACTTCATCAGGTGAACACAATGTTTCTGTTTCTTCAAGCCCTCTGAAACACATGCTTTTGGGTGATAGCGACAGATCACAAAAGGTCTTCAGCTCGACTTTATTAACGTCTTTGTTTGAATGAATTTCAGCTCCGTTTGAAGCGCTTCCCTGTTCCTCAGTAACCATTCGTCTCCAGGCTGCCCTCAGAGCCTCCTGCAGCTCCTCCATCTGCAGGTGACACGCAGCAGTGAACACTCTGTAATACTGCTGCTGGCTCAGAGAGCGTGGCAGAACGCCCGTGTAAATGTAGTCCAAAAGAAATCCCAGCACAGAGCCAGGCAGGCACGGATCCTGCAGTTCCACCAGGGCACCAGCAGAGAGCAGGATGGATGCCCACACTGGGCTGGAAGCTGCCAGAACACATCTGGGAGGGTAAAAATCAAACGCATGCTGTAATGTGTGGAAACCTTAAAGATTTTTTTTAGATCTTTTTAATTTTTAGAAAAAAAAGATGCTGACCTGTGTGCAGGGTAGATCTGATCTGGGTTTTGTTTCTGTCTGAGCACACAGTCACAGAACTGCCCCTGTTCCCTCTGAAGGTTCAGGTGTGTGAAGAGTGATGCTGCGTGCTGACCGACATCCTGGGTACAGGCTATCACCTGGAGTGAAGGATTGAACAGAAACCTCACATCAGTGTATGAAACCTCTGTATGCCATCGTCACAGCCTGACTTTTCAAAATTAAAGTAATACTCTCTTAGTTTGCGGTCAAAGATTAAAGTCGATGAAGGAACTTCAAATTTGAAAAATGACACATATTCAAACATTGCAGTCATTTTATTACCAAATTATAAGTTTATCACTTTGATTCAAATCTGGAAATAGAAATATTAAAAGCTGATGTTGAGATCAGAAACAGGAATGGATTTCTTTATGGCAATTTGAAAATGAATTGATTAAAGAAATCAGTTATTGCTGCGAGTAGTTGGCTTTTTGTTATTAAACCAGATCAAAAAATAGATTAGTTAAAATATTTAAATAAAAATAAATTAGTTCCTGACTTTCATATTGCAGATATCAGAACTCAAAGCTTTGCATTTTATTTCTTACCACACATATGACACTTAAAATACATCAAAACAATTTCATTGCAAGACGTCTCTAGCTTCACATGCAGGAATGAAAAAAGAATCTATTTGCAAGACTGAGACGAGGTTAACCACTCTATAAAACACGCATGATAAATAAATTACTGTATCATGTACAGTAATTGTATATGTACAGTAATACTGTATCATGCACAGTACAGTATCATACTGTACTGTAAGATTAAGATACATGTCTGTATTCAAACTGAAGCTCAATATTAAACTAACTTAATATTAAACGGCCTAGTTGCAGACCTTTGTGGCAGAATAATAAAACACAATAAACTTTATAAGCACACAGAAATAAATGAAACCTTGACAAGGAGTGCACTTTGTTAACTTTTACATGAAAAAAATGTCATTAATGGTTGTCTGAAAATGTTCAGAAAGAAAAATCAATAATCTTACCTGCATGTTATAAAAGGAGAAGAGCAACAAACACCCACTGGTCCACTCTGGGTTAAAGAGAGAAAAGAACCTCCATGGAGAATATATAGTCCCAGTTTCATCCGTGTGCACAGAGTCTCATTCGGAAAACAATCACACACTTTTCATATTGGGAGCGAGGCATGACGTGGAGGCTCGTGCGCCTAAAAGGAGTGCTGGCCTCTGATGTCAGAATCTCCATGGCCCGATATGGAGGGGGACTGACACCAGCCCACCGAGGAACAACATGAGACCACTACAGCAGGCAGAGTCACGATTCCTGCTCACATGACAGTGGTACTGCATGGGCCAGTTAAATACTCCAAGCTCAATAAACTTGGGACTGTGGTTACTGCTTACAGCAATGTAATAACACATTGTACAGAACTCAGACACACATTTGCAGAGAGGTCAAAGGTCAGAGCCTACAGTGAGCTTAAACTGGGCAGAATGTCTGAATGGACAATTTTGTAAACTGATACACATACATGACTGAAACACGTGTGTATGTGTGTGTAGGTTTTTGTTACTCAGTGATGATTTTTGATCATTTTTCCAGTACACGGTTCAAGTTTATTTATATAGCGCCAAGTCACCCCAATGTTTTGTCTCAGGGCACTGTACATAAAAGAACAATCTAAAGAAGAAACCAGCAGATTGTGTTGAATCACTTCATCACAGTCTCCCATCCTGAGCAAACGGTGGAGAGGAAAAACTCCCTGCTAATCAGGAAGAAACCTCCAGCAGAACCAGGCTCAGGACAGGCGGCCATCTGCCTCGACCGGCTGGTTGAGGGACAGGAAAGAGACACAGGTAAACACAGAAGAACTGGTCCAGGACTGGTCCAGGTGCACCTTCTTCTGGAAGACAAAGAAAAAACATGATAGAAATAATTACAATAAACATGTAGAGAAGAGAGACTAAAGACAACAGCAGAGTGAAGAAATGTGCTCAGTTTGTGCTCCAGCAGTCTAAGTCTATAGCAGCAGAAATGAAGAATAATTCAGGAAACCTAAGTCTAACTACATGATTTATCAAAAAGGAAAGTCTTCAGTCTAATCTTAAAAGTAGACAGAGTGTCAGCCTCACGGACAGAAACTGGAAGTTGGTTCCACAAGAGAGGAGCTTGATAACTGAAAGCTCTGCCTCCCATTCTACTTTTAGAAACTCCAGGAACCACAAGTAAACCTGCAGTCTGAGAGCGAAGTGCTCTGTTAGGAAAATATGGAACAATAAGATGTTTAATATATGATGGAGCTTGGTAGTTAAGAGCTTTGTATGTTAGGAGTAATATTTTAAACTTTCTTCTGAAATCAGCCTTACGAAGACTGGTCCTAAAGCCTGGTCCCTAATGGGGGATATACCATTGGTGGATCAATGGTTAGGGTTAGGACTAAGGTTTAAATTGAGTTTAGGTTAGGTTTAGGGTCAGGTATGGTCAGAGTGAGGCTGTAGAAATGGCCAATAAATGAATGGGAGTCAATGTAAATTCCCCATGAGAATATGAAGAACATAAAACAAGAACAATAAGAAAACAAAACAGTTATTTTGTTACCTTTCCTCAACAGTTTTTTCTTCACCTTTCCATTGATAAGACTGAATAAAAGGTGTTTGATTCATGGAAACTTTTCTACGTGCTACACGTCTGTTGAAGGAAACTTCTCCAGTGTCAGGAGCCGGTTCACATCAGCTGATGGTTTGTTGACAACTCCACAGCGAGCCTTTTCTCCACCCTTAGAACCACGTGCTCGTCATGACTTTTAATCCTTCCAGTGCTCTAAGGTTACAGCCACGCCTCTGTCTGTCCACAGAAAGGGCAGTCGTACATTCTCCCCAACAACTGTGTAATGGAAATACTACTGCAGTACACTGTGTTACACTGTGACTCATTTAAAGTTCGTCTCGTGGCACAGATAAACAAGTTTTATAGCCAGGACACAAACATATGCAGCAAATCTACTGCATTAATTAAAACAAAGTTTTATTCTGGAGTTTTAAATGAAAACTGTGTTGTTTTAAAGTGGTATTCTGTGGAAAGAATATGGATTATTACTTATTGTCGATAGCTTGTTGATCAGCTGCAGAGTTGAATTCTGACAAAATTAACAAGCGAATAGATGTTTTTAATCTTTACATTGAAATCAGGCTTTTATTTACCATGAATTCCACATTTTTCTTATTTTATAAGAAGAAATAGTGCAACAGCTAGTGCAGCCTGAGGCAATTCTGGCAGTGACATCAGATTTCTGCAAGAATAACTGCATGAAATGAACAAGGTTTCTAACTTAGGATTTGCATGAATTGGTGTAAAATTATTAGAGATGATTTAATATAGGAATAATCAGTGGTGGGCATAGTTCTGCTAAATCACTAAAGCACTGATAGGGGAACTAATTTCCTGATTAGTGCTTTAGGGCTTTTGCTAGTTTTAAAATTCATTAGTGGATTAGCACTTGCTAAATTCATAGGCAAAATTTAGAAGCACTAACTGAGATCTATGAATGTTATTGATCAACATTGTTAACAGCTGACGGTGAAAGCTGTCACACATTTTGTTTACATGTGTGTCACTCATGCACAACGACAACATATCGACAACATATGAGCTCAAACACGGCTGTGGAATGTCAATAAGTCATAAGAGAGCAACATGGCAACATGTGACTTATGTCTGTTGAATAATGTTCATGGGTTGACTGGGTTATTTTAGTGCTTTAGAATTAGTTTTTGCTAAATGTTTCAGTGTGTAGTGCTTTAGAATTAGAGGACCTAAATATCTGAGTCAGGGCTAGTGCAGGGGTCCACAACCTGTGGCTCTGGGGCCACATGTGGCTCTTTGGTCCCTCTGCAGTGGCTCTTTGAAAGTGTTACTA